GCGTTAACACGTTCGTCCGCGATGGACTCCTAAACTACTGAACTGATTGCAAATCAGATTTGCATATTGTGTGCAATTTGATCCAACTTGAAAGATAGGATAGCTTACATCTTAATTTATAGTCGCAATATTATTTCATTGCAAATTATCTATACATATAAATAAAATTGGAGTGTCTGTTTGTAATATTGAATTATTTCAATATTACAAACAGACACTCCAATTTTCTCAACAGACACTCCGTTTTCCGTTTACTGCATGCATATGAATATAAATACGGTATATACCCCAAAAATACACTTTATAAAATTTTTGTCTGTCTGACGTTCTGTTTGTTCCGGCTAATCTCTGAAATGACTGAAGCAATTTTAACGGGACTTTTTTTGGCAGGTAGTTAATGTAATAAGTAGTAACTTTGGCTACTTTCATTTTAGAAATATTATTTTAATTTAGAAAAATAAAGTACTTATAACACCACGCGGACGAAGTCACGGGTACAGCTAGTTTTTATATATAAAGAAACTGTTATCCACACCAACGCCCGGCCGGGTCTGCTCATTACATAGTATAAAACAAAGTCGCTGTCGCTGTCTGTCCGTCCCTATGTATGCTTAAATCTTTAAAACTACGCAAAGAATTTTAAAGCGGTTTTTTTTATATATTGTTACTGTCAACGGCAACCGTTCGCCATCTTGCCCCGCTAAAGCAGATTTCTGTGACTACAACGCCATCTGGTTTGAATGAGATAACCACCGCAATATATTTTTATTTAATTAATATTATTTATGGTTATATACTTGAAGTAAATATATAAATAGTAAAGATTAAATCTAATTATAATTATGACATAAAATGTATGGTCTACAAGTTTGATATAATCATGTTTATTATTGAGTACAAGATATAAGTTCTGATTTGACCATAACAGTCCCACCTACCTACTGACTTTAAAATGAACCACCATGTTGTGCACAGATCCTTCCGATCGATCCCCCGTCCAATTCAACGGGGATCGATGTTACGACGGCCTGAGCCGAGGTTCGAACCCCTAGTGGTGCCCTCAGACTAAAGTCGTATCCGTCAGGCGGGAGTTGGCCTTCAGCCGCTCCATAAGTCCTTCCGCGGGTTTGGAGTGCCATCTGCACTCGCCTCCTATCGTCCGGTGAAGCTGTAAAGGCCAGCTGTGGCCAACAGCATTAGAGTAGTCCGAAAAAAAAAAATTATGCAGAACCAGTTCGGTTTAGACGCTCGAAATGAAAAATACATACAAATGAAATAAGAAATAATCTCTCGTTGCTGCTGCCGCCCCGTAACAAGATAGAGTGATTCAAGAGGAAGGTTTATATGTATAATACATGTACCGGACGAAGCCGGGGCGAGTAGCTATATCTTATATATAAAATTCTCGTGTCACAGTTTTCGTTCCCATACTCCTCCGAAACGGCTCGACCGATTCTCATGAAATTTTGTGAGCGTATTGAGTAGGTCTGAGAATCAGCCAACATCTATTTTTCATCCCCCTAAATGTTAGGGGTAGTCCACCCCTAATTTTTTTATTTTATTTTAAAGCAAAACAACGTTTGCCGGGACAGCTAGTATCCTATAAATATAGAATGAATACTTCCAATAGCCCAGTATTTCAGGATACGGTTTCATTTCATGATGTAGTTTATCTGAAAATAACGCTAGTCAAAATACTTGATCGTTAAAATCCGCTCAATCTGCATTGCGATTGCCGTAGTGGAGTTAAAAATGACTAATTATTGGTTATATTTATAATACTTTATTTGAGTCGAGTTTATTTCTACTTCTCATAATTATAAATGAAGTTACAGTATAATATGAAATAGTTATTTTGGACTGCCATACAAAATTAGTTGTAATATTAAGTTTAATTAAAGTTTATTTTCAGGTATCACTTTATAGATATTACTTATCAAATTTCTGGATTATACTCATATATATAGGTAATATATTAAACAGTGTACATTTTCCGCATCATTATCATTATATAGTAAAAAACAAAGTTGCAGTCGCTGTCTGTCCCTATATGCATATAGCGACAGCGACAGGGACTTAAATCTCGATCTCGATCGACTTAAATCTTTAAAACTACGCAACGGATTTTGAAGCGGCTTTTTTTAAAAGATAGAGTGATTCAAGAGGAAGGTTTATATATATAACTAGCTGTTCCCGCGACTTCGTCCGCGTGGAATTTAACTTCATTTTTTCTAAAATAAAAGAATTTTTCCAAAATAAAATTAGCCTAAGTTCCTCCTTATTTCATTACCTACCTGCCAATAAAAGTCCCGTCAAAATCGGTCCATCCATTTCAAAGATTAGCCGGGACAAACAAACAGACAGACAAAAATTGTAAAAATTGTTATTTTAGTGTATGTACCATATTTATATTCGTATGCATGTAGTAATAAACGGTTATTTCAATATTATAAACCAATACTCCAATTTTATTTATATGTATAGATACATGTACACCCTTGCGAAGCCGGGGCGAGTAGCTAGTCAAGTATAATAGTGAAAACTTTTCAGTATAAATCATACCACGGATATGTGTTCCGGCTAATGTAGAAACGTATTTAGCTGATGTAATTTTATTTTTATTTCCACTCCTAAGTTTTCCATTACGGAGTTTTATAAAACTGGTATTTGTTCATTAAGGAGTTTGTTGGTTTGTTCTGCATTCGTCTCTTAACTTCTCAACCGATCTGTATGAAATTAGGCATACAGGTGAAGGGTGTGAGATGAAAAAGATCGCACAAAATTTATCAAGTGATAAGTTTAAATCCAATGACTGAGATGAAGGGTTGGAGATGAAAAAGAACGGACCAAATTTATCAGATGATAAGTATAAATCCAAAGACTGAGATACACGCAATCACGATGTCAGTATGTTCATATTTTAAGTATAAAGAGATTCACTGTATGAATTTCAGAGTTCAGGTCAATTTATTCTCAATTCAAATTCGAATTCAAAATATCTTTATTCATGTAGGTCTATTACAGACTCTTATGATATGTCAAATCTACCGTCATTTCGGACTGATTTCGAGATGAGAAGAACTGACAAGAAACTCAGCTCGTATTCTTTTCAAATGAATATTATACATGTTTTTTTTTGTAACATATTATTTATTTATTTATTTTTATTTATTTATTCTTTAATGCACAAAAAAAACTTGTACAAAGGCGAGTTTAATGCCATATGGCATTCTCCACCAGCTAATATTTAGGTATACAGAAAGCGTTGTGGGGCAGTTATGTCAAAAAACAAACACAAAGTTACTAATAAATATTATATAATATATATGAAATGCAAATAAATATATACAAATAATAATATATATAGTATACCTGATATTATATAATGTCATACATTAATGTTAAATATATATAAATATAATACTAGTACAATGCAATACAGTTATAACTCATTTTGGTGATTCAGAAGAAAATTAAATAATTTCTTTTTAAAAATGGGCTCACTCGATGCTTTACGCAGGTTTACAGGTATATTATTGTATTTGTTAGTTATATATTTTGTTGCATTTTATTTACCACTGCTGCTACTTGTAGGGACTGGTCTACTCTAATCACTATGACTAATTTACTAACTTACTCTAATGTAATTCCTCAACCAGTTGGTTATATATTCAATATTTTTTCTATTTGAGTATTTAATTGAATTAGTGCTAATTGGTAGTTTATATTCACACACTTCAATTTAGAATTATTTAAAAAGCAACATGCAAGTTTCTTGCTCGTTCTTCTAGTGATGAGATTTCCGAATGAGCGGTAGATTAAAAAAAATATGATGACTATTCAAAAGTGCTTCAATGTCGTCAGACGTAAGTTTTAGGTTAGCTTTTTAGTGGAAAAACTTCACAAGATATCGTAGTTTCTAAAAAAAATTGTGAATTAAGGAGTCTAAGATTCTCTCGATTTGAAAAATTATTAAAAAAAAAAAATGTGATGACTATTCAAAAGTGCTTCAATGTAAGTTTATTTGAATAAATAATTTTCTATTCTATTCTATTTATTATATTTGCACCGCCAACAATTATTCTCTGCACCACTGATGGTTGCCTGGTAGAAAATACCGCATGGTGTTAAGTCCGCCAAATGTATTGTACGTTTATATTGTGTGCACTGAAGTTAAATAAATAAATAATTAATAAATTACTATTAAAATTTATATGATATGATGTACAAAATATCATGGTACAAATATAGTATAATCTATTCATAATTAATAAATTAAAATAGACGTGAAAACAAAGCCATTTCTTTCTAGTCTATTAAGAATACTTCCGTAGGACCATAATTAGTAATTAATCATTTATTTAAACTGCCGCATTTTGTTTCATTAACATTCAAGGACTTAGGTACTCAATCTAGCTTAGACGAAATGTATGGCTTCATGAAGTAATAAGGTAGCAGGATCATACTGTTATAATTTTAACTTTCAGAGTTGGGAAAACATCTGGCTATATAAATTGCTTATTATAATTTTACTAGTTATACAGAAAACTAGGATTCAATACGTTTCTAATATAATTTGGATTCTACCCTTTGCTGCATACTACCTAGCGAACCATTGGTCCAAGATTTAAGAATTTGTGTAGGGTATTACATCATTTCGGTTGACTTTGATACATTTTCATTTTTATAATATTGTAAACTGATAAGGACAAATTTTAGTACTTATAAGATTAATATAATCCTGAATCACATTTAATTTAAATCCCATAGGATAATTTTAATTATCCTTGAAGTTATAGGTGCTATATGTAGCTTATAGCGTCGAAAAATTCCGTGTGCTCAGCTTAATAGTCATTTTTTGCTTACTGGCGCCCAACATGGGACGACAAGACAACGTGCCAACGACTGTCTCTGCATTCTCTTTCGACACTTAATAATCCAATTTACATTTTAAAACGTTATCATATAAATCAATCGAAAAATACACCTTAAACACTCACCTCAAAGTATAAAGTCCATTATCCGTGTAGAACGTATTTGTTCATAACACATTCAAAACGTTGATGTAGCGTTTTTAGGTAGCTCTATTTCCTTCACGAAACAACGTTATACTGCTCGGTTAACCAACTAAAACGGTGTTATTTACGCCTTCACGGAAGCTAAATCGCGGCGAACCCAAACTACTTTCTAGCGAACATGTACTTGATTTATGCACGTGTTATACGTAGTTGACACGTGTCATACACACATAGTGATCCACTGCACAGACACTTCACAGTAAGCGGCAATACGTGAACACCGTTCTCTCGGCACGATATTGTGTAGGACAGAGAGACGCGGCGACGCGGCCGATCGGCGCGGAATCGCGGGCACTACTGGGCTGGTACCGCGCAAGCCGCAAAGGAGCTGGGTCAAAGACTATAACCGTTTTTGAGTAGGTAAAATTGTCAACATTCGTGTATACTGTAATCTGAATGGGATATCATACCTTCACGACTGTAATCCCAAATGGGAGCAGAGTTGTCAATTAACAGTGCTGTGGTGGGTGTACATTTGAAATTATATGCACATATTCACCGAGAATAATTTGGTATTAGGGAACGAATTAGGGAAATCTACGCCGTCTTTCAAATTAATTTGCTTTATTTTATATCTGTCGTGAAATATAAATAATTCTTTATTCAGATTAACTCAATACAAGCACTTTTGAATAGTCATATTTTTGATTCTACCATTCATTCGGAACGCAGATTCACCATAAGAATAATGAGCAAGAAACTTGTGTGTTGCTCCTTGAATAGATTTTTTTTATATAAATAACTAGCTACTCGCCCCGGCTTCGTCCGGGTGTATATTATACATTTTAAACCTTCCTCTAGAATCACTCTATCTATTAAAATCCTAGCATAGTTGAAAAGATTTAAGCATACATAGGGACGGATAGACAGCGACTGCGAATTTGTTTTATACTATGTATGATTACACCGTAACAAGTAAGAGGCATGCGAATTCATGCGATAATCAACATAGAAACCGCTACGCACTCATTCTTAGTACAATCAGATAATATTGTCATCGGGGTGGAAAGGCTTGTTAGTAATGTGGACTCTCAACCCCTAGCAATGTACCATGTCAGGTTAACCTCCACGCGGTTCCCCCTGGAAACCATCGTGATAAATTCCAGATGAATTTATCACGATGAGCTAACTGACCTGACCTCATGCTCATCTTATCATAATCCACTGGTGCCCCGCCAGTGTTAACCGTTAGCGTAGGCAGGTGCACCATTTCATTATCATATACAAAAAAAATATTGTCAACGAATTTTAAGTTTGATATCTTCTATTCTCTTCTGCTTGTTATTCCAAACAAAATCCATAATTAATCATCTGAATGTACTAACATTTTTTATAATAATAATAACACAGCGCCATCTAGTGCCAAGCTAACCAAAGTTTGTGTTCTGGGACTACTAACAGCGAATGCAATGCGTAAATAAATAGTCAGTTTATAATCTAATTTTGGTGTTTGACAAGCTTTTAACCTGAAGTACATAAGGCTAGCAAATTACTATACACATGCTTTAATGTCTCATAATGTCTCATACATGAAAGCGTCAGTTACGGAATCATTAGAATACCATAAAACTACCTTTGTATTGATAAATTCAACCTTCAACACCACAGTTTAAAAATTCCCGAACATAATTCCAAATATAATCACCAGCAGATTAAAAAATATGAGTACAATATTATAATAATAATATCTCAGGACAATTCACACAGCGCCATCTAGTCCCAAGCTAAGCAGAACTTGTGTTATGGGTACTAGACAACTGATATCAATACATGGATACATTTTTTTTGTAAATAAATACATATTTAACATAGAACGCACCCAGACCGATACTAACAATCATACTCATGAATACAATTGTTCGTACCGTGCGAGGAATCGAACCCACGACCATCGGATAGTAAAGCGGTGTGCTAAACCACTAGACCACCGAGGCCTGATAACAGTCCTTACTATCTACTTTTTTTTATTTTGATAATACATACCGTGCCATCGATTTCCTAGTAAAGCTTGCACTATATAGGTTCTATGGATACTTCTAAATTACTGACAGAAACAATTTTTTTTATGAATATATATACATAATGTATATAGAACAAAACCTATAACCTCTTGAAGGAAAATGATTTTATTGTACGAGAATCGAACCCAGGTTCACTAGTAACTAGGCGGAGTGCTAAACACATAGGAATAGAAATGGTTGTATGTACGAGAATCGAACTCAGGGCCATCAGAAGCAAGACGGATCACCACATGATAAACAGACTACCGTGACCATCGAGGTCAACATTTCTTGCTAATTACTTGCAGTTTGAATTTGTTTTCATTTGACTGCTATCTGTAAAAACAAAAAAGAAGAAATATATTGTATTATATAATAGTATTAATTTGTATTAAGAAATAAGATGAATATTAAAGAGATATAGCTCGGAATATAATTTTACAATTGTCAAAATCTATACATATAAATAAAATTGGAGTGTCTGTTTGTAATATTGAAATAACCATTTTTTACTACATGCATGAGAATATAAATATGGTACATACACCAAAATAATATATTTTACAATTTCCGTCTGTCTGTCTGTTTATTCCGGCTAATCTCTGAAATGACTGGACCGATTTTGACGGGACTTTTATTGGCAGGTAGCTGATGTAATAAGGAGTAACTTAGGCTACTTTTGTTTTAGAGAAATAAAGTTAAACTCCACCCGGACGAAGGCGCGAGAACAGCTAGTATATAATAAAATATAAAGATATAAAAACATCGACACAGTCAATGACAAGAGAACGATTTAGTTTTCAAAAATTACAATCAAATATAAATTCGGAACCTATATTGGTTTTGTTGTATGTTATTATACGGAACTTGTATTGCTATTAGTCAATCAATTATTTTCTCTCTACCTTCCAAATAATATTTTATTTATACTGTCATAAATGCCTTCCCATTCCGTGTTTTCACTCGGAACATACTAGTAATAGTGCATACAAATTGACGAATAATTCTCACAAAACTCACCCTTCTACTCTGCTGTAATGACGGCGTATGCATTACAAAGATATCTCTCAGATAGTACACATTAACATATGTCACATGAACAGTCCACCAATCAGAACAGAGACAGCCACGCACACGTGTACAACTTAGCCAAATTGTAGTGATAGCACACACGTGCAATTCTCTCACCTTCAAGTTAAAGAGCAAATGTGTAAACAGCAGAGATTGGCGTTTCTTTGACTCTTTACAGTAGTCCGAGGGAGGTTTAATAGGATGCAAACACAGATAAAGCGGAGTGGAATGAATGAAATATTAGTGTGTCTGTGAGGGAACTGGGAAGTTCGGACGTGGTTCCTCAACTGCATAATGAAACAAAAAGATACATTTAATTTAAAACACTGTTAGATCTTATTAAAATTTCAAGACTATTTACGTCCTCTTACTACATACGTACTCTTCAAATAGAATTCATTCTATATATATGGTCATCTGATAAAATGACTGTTGAAAATCTGATGAAATGAAGCGTCTACTCGTACCTGTATGCTCCTGATAGGGTTTCCTGGGCTTCTTAATGTGGGCCAGCATCCAGGAGATGTTTCAAGTGAAAGCATCATCTGGATGCTAGTCCGTATTATGGGCCTTTCACACACTTTTGGACTCGGTTTATAATATTTTTTTTATTTTAATTAGGAAACGTGCGCGCGCGAGACAAGGTGATCTGTACTATCATAGATAAGGGAGAAAGACGGGAAATAGAAACTAAAGGGCTCTAATATAATAATCTGTGCTTACGACGGGTCTATACCCGTGTCTGTGCTTACAACGGGTCTATACGGGTCTATACCCTATGGTATAGGATATAGGATGTTAAACATTAAAATAGCAGTATTTTATATTGTAGTATAAGTAGTTTAATAACATAATTCATCACATTATTTACAGTTTATTCATAGTTTATATATTTTGATAAAGAGCTCAATATTTCATATTTATGTAATTTTTTTTTAGTATTAAGTATAGTATAAGTAAGGAGTCAACAGAATATCAGCGCTGCAGAGTTATCTGTAGCATTATGCTGAGTTGGCTATCTTTTCACTTTTGCCACATAAAGTCACCTACAGTTCTTTTATTAATTCGTGTTTTTCTGTATCTCATGTATGTTATGTGTCTGTAATTGTAAATAAAGAATTTATTTATCTTGTTATAGCTGTTGCTAATACGGAAATTGCTGATGAGGAGCACGGCCTTGTACTTTGTGCCCGTACTTCGAAATGACGAATCAGCGCCCCACATGTTCGTTGACCCACCGCGCTGGGCAACTGCTAACTCGACATCTTAACTAGTGTTTCCGCGTCTCAGTATTTGTCACTTTAACTCAATTCGATACCAACTTCGTCCGAAGATAGTTATAGTCATATATTAGTTTGTAATATTTTATTTTTAATTAAATATATTAAAATAATTTTGTTTTTTTTAACTCCTGCGGCTGCGTCGCACGTAATTTATTTTTTCTCAATGTTTGCATGTAACACTGCGACCTGCAGAGATCTATTGCCTTGCCCCATCTTTCGGAGTTCGTTGCCTAGGCCCGTCAGGGAAAATTCTTAGTAGCGATGGTTTTTATCTGCTTTCAGTATTTTCAAAGCAAAACAAGCTGCATATTTTGTATGCAGCTTCTATAAACCTTCCTATAGAATCACTCTGTCTATTAAAAAAAACCGTTTCAAAATCCGTTGCATAGTTTTAAAGATTTAAGCATACATAGGGACGGATAGACAGCGACAGCGACTTTGTTTTATACTATGTAATGATAAGTGTGCGAAATTTCATGCACTACCATCCGCAAGATTTTTCTAAAACATGGTACAAAGATTTTGCTCAGATATTTATATAATATAGCTGTACCCGCGACTTCATCCACGTGGAATTTAACTTTATTTTCTAAAATAAAAGTAGCATAAGTTACTTCTTATTACATCAGCTACCTGCCAAAAAAATCCCGTCAAAATCGGTCCAGCCATTTCAGAGATTAGCCGGAAAAAACAGACAGACAAACAAAGATAGTAAAAAATGTTATTTTGGTATATGTACCGTATTTATATTCATATGCATGTAGTAAAAAACGGTTATTTCAATATTACAAACAGACACTCCAATTTTATTTATATGTATAGATTAAAATAACGACATGATCCATATTATATTTAACTCCAAAACAGCCATATTGGCGTGAGAATTTCCACGTATCCTGACAAACTGATA